CCAATTATTTTCTGTGTCAATCTGGTCACTTAGACCAGAATATTATGTTTTCATTCTCTAGCTTCCCACTACCCATCTTTCCTCCATTTTATCTCTCCAAACTCTCCCAAGAAAATAATCTCCAAGCACTGTCAACTAATATATACCATGGTGAGGGAAAAATACCTAAACAGAGTTCTGGGGAATAGGAAGAGAGAAAGAACAAACATTGRGGGGGGTCACAAGGTGACAAAAGAAGTCATGCTAAATTTCACCTGATGTCTCAGCATTAAAATTGCAGCTCAGAGCTAGTGACTGGACTTAGGACTGAGAAGGAAGCCAGGAGGTTAGGTCAGGAATGCATGTGCTACCAGGGCTGCACCATGAGGAAGCTGAGGAGGTACCTGATGAATGACTACACCCGCAGCTCCTCCAGGAGACAGCAAACCCACCGGGTGCATCACCTTCATCTCAGCCCTACCACTAGGTCAAGAGGGCTCGAGTCTCGCTCGGGGATTTGAGGAGTAGCTGCCTGGCAGCTGGCCTGACAGCTGTGGAAAGGGTTTCTTCTGTCTTCCCCAACACTCACTCAGTTCTCCCCGAGTGCCAGGGAACCCCTAGGGGTTCTGTCACAGTCCTCTGAGCTCGAATGCCTCCAGCTCCTGGTTCCTGAATATCACGGCTCTGGAGCAGCCCACAACACTGCGTCTGTTCTCATGAGTGGGCTGCAGGAAGGGACTGGATTCACCAACCTTTGGGGAACTTCTTCCAACAGGTCAGGTAGCAGTTAGCCCCCACAGCACGAGAACCACAGACAACACCACCTGTTTTTGCAGCGTCTCCAATACAAAACACACAACCACCAGCAGACAGGGCTGCAGCCCTGAATCTCCCCACCTTCCGAGATACCGAGGAGGACGCTCATCACCACACTGCTGGTCCAACACTGCTCAGCGTGCAGCGCAAAGGCTACAGCACTTACAGCCAGGACCAGGAGCTGCAGTGGCTGACAGGGAGCCTGAGGACACTTGTCCAGCCTCTCCAGGACTCAACAAATTACRCACACATTTTATAGGAACATAAGTAGGCTCCCTTCTGCACATGGCTGCGCAGCACTTGGAGAGAAGAATCTCGTAACACCAGCCTCATTTACAGGATTTGTGTGATGGTTCTCACAGCCACGGATCCACACTGCTGCACATCACCGGCTTCTCTCTCATTTAGCCACTCCCTGCTATCACAGCCGCTGCTGAGCAGAGCACTGAAGTAACCAGAGCTGTTCCTTGCTGCTMGTGGGCAAGGTGAACAGCAGTGCACGACGTGAGGCCTTGTGCTTTGCAAAGCTGGGCACAGGTTGCTGGGCTGGGCACAAACATCTCATGTACTGCCCAATTACCCAGAAATACACAGCTGGCTMACAAGAGATTCAAATTTATTACATAAGTAATTCAGTATTGTCCACGGCTGCTCACGTAAAACAGCTGGTTGAAAGAAAAAGGGAAATTTTACAATTCTGATAGTTCAGAAGATCCACATGCAATATCTGATACRGGATTCCTTGTTGTTATGCACAAATACACTGCTTATACCTTCTGAAAACTGTTTTTTGCTTTAATCTCAATAAAAAATGACTACTTGATTTACRGATGATTTAATTAGCCCTGTGATATTAACCTTATCTAGAAAATGCAACTTGAAAACTCCCATTACTTGGCCATAATTAAAATATGAATTGGTTAATATTTACATTTCACAGATTCATCTGCATGATGACATCTATCTGAAYAATGACATTTGAGAGGCTGGGAATATTTTGCTGCCCTTGCCTCTCCCACTTCCTGACAAGAATTATCCTTAAGTCCTTACTCAGGGAGTAGGGACCTGCATTCAGTAAAGAGCTGGCTTAAGATGCTATTGCTTTCTGACTTTATGATCAATCCCACAACTTATTACTTGCAATTAATAAGTTATGACTCCTTCAAAAGAGTTGGCAGACCACATAAACGCTTCTCGGCTCATTCGTTAAACTCCAGCAAGGTTTAATAAACCATGGGATTTGCTCCCAGAATCAGCRGGATACGCTCACGTGAGCTTTCCTGCTGCTCTGCTCCATGCCCGCAAACCTCAGCGCAGGCTGGGCAGGGCAAGAGGGAAACGTTTAGGCAAAGGCCTAAAATTTCACTGCGTGTTTCCATAGTGCCATATGTGCATAACCACATAGGCTGTGGTTACCTGCGTGTGGCCATCCCAGACCTTCAGTGCGATGGATCGAGAGCAGGAACCGCAGCTTCTGCACTGACTTGTAGCTTGCGCGTGCAGAACAACTCTCGAATAACTCGGGCACCTACTGGGCTGCTGCCACGAGAGATTGTTGGAGTGAATGAAAGGATAAAGGACCACACTGCTGAAGGTCACTGCGAGCTTGTTGCTCCATTAAAATGCTTCAACAAGAAATCCTGCAACACTTCATATCTTTTGTACTAAATGTCATTGCGTTTTGGGGTCCTGAAGTACGCGCAAGTCTTATAAAGTATTGACACTTGAACTCTAATTTTGCTTAAAAGTCAAAATGTTGACTTAAACTATTTTTAATACATCTGCATCAAAGTCAGTTTCTCAAATCTTCTCTGCTAATCATTAAAAAAAAGTGCATTTTTTCCATCAACCAAAATAATTAACTATAGGTTAGTTATGCAAGTGTGGTTACTATGGAAATATAGGTGAGCAAATATAGTTTGGGTGCTCTGGATGAAAACTGCCCCAACACCTTTTGGTTGAACTAAGGAAGTGATCTGAACACACACATCCACAAAAACAGCCAGTCAGCATAAAGTCAGTATATGAAGTCAATATTAGCTATTCCACAGAAAGGTAAGAAAAAAATAAGTTTGCTTCCCTGAATACATTTATAAGTTATTTAGGTGCTAATAAATGCCATTTACAGCCTAAAATAAAAAGCAGGCAGGATCTCAGTAAACTGCCTTTTATTTCTATCACAAAATAAAACATGCACTTAAATCCATTAATTTCCAGACAGATTTTATAGAAMAAGATGTCTCACAAAAAGGAGACCTGGCAACCACGAGAATTTAGCCACTTGCTGGGTAAAACAAATCCAGATTTATTCAGTCCGACATTCTCRGTGGCAACAAGCTTAAGTGACGTTAGAAAAGATAAACAAAGCAGAGAAAAGTTTCTTTTGCATGTATGTCCAGGCTGTACTAGTCCAATCATAAAACAAAAAAAGGGGGGGTGGCAGCAGATAGAGAACTGTGAGGCAAGTTTAGAAATCTTTCTTGAGCCTTCTCCTTTTACTACTGATATTAATAGGATTGAAATAATCACTGCCTTGAAAATCACGCCTCAGCACTGAGCATTGCTCAAAAGTCCAGCCAAGCCTTTTACACAAACACAGATGAAATGTAGCCTCAGATCTATCATGAACTTCGTACAATTAAACCTCTTTGCACAGGGCATTTAAATCACTGAGGAAGGCCTGGCTCAAAAAGACTCGAAGCCAAAGCAGGAATTACATGAATAATGAAGAATAACAGGGTAACGAGTCTCAAGGCCCCTGACATAGAGGGCAGAAAGGCAACTTCTCAACTTACTCATTTTTCCTTCCTCCCCATCCTTTTTTTTTWAAAATAAAAATCTCCTGTGTTCTTTCAACAAACAAAGGCTGTAAGTATCAAAATGTTAAGTACTTTTCCTTAAATACATATTGCTGTTGCTTTCTTGATGAAAGGTGAAGGTTGTGAATTAATCTTAGAATCAATTCTGGTACGGCGGTATCTGTTATCACAGAATCCTAAAGGTTGGAAGGGGCCTTTGGAGATCATCCAGTCACAGAAAATCATCCTTACGGATATCAAGCCAAGCGTTAAGATATGCATTAATTTGTTTAAGCAAATTCTATTGGTTAACATAGCATTCAAAAATTTTACACATGGAAAAAAATAACATAATAATACATAAGCTAAGCTTATATATGTTTATGTAAGAGAATAATTTCTCTACTATCCTATTTTTCCTTTTTTGTTAAATCTTTCTTCAACTGCTCTGCAATACTGAGGGTCTGTGTGTAAAGCAGAACACGGCCCCATGCTCTGCACACAGCAGCATTTTGGTACCTGGATATTCCATGTCTTTCTGAAAGAGCACAACTCACATCTACCTCCAGGTGTTTTATACATGTACAGCCTACTTATATACCAAACTTGTTCTGTTTTAAAGCAGATACTTGCATAAATCTCTCTTTTTTACCTTTACATGCCAACGCATTACTAGCTTACTGCAGCCAAACTGATGTAACAAAGAGGGGGTGGGAGAAAGAAAAGAGAAGAAGAAGAAAAATGATTAAATGACTAATTTCTCCAATAAAAATGAGCCTACATTTAGATTAAGACCTAATTCCTCCTGGTGCTTACTGTAGCAGTGGAAACACTTTTTTTCCTAAGTTGCTTTGCCAACATCAACAATGAGGAAAGATACTGGAAAGATTCCCTAAACGTGTACCTCCTTTTTCCTTCATTGTTCATCCTTAAACTATGTGGTGAAATAAACTATCTAGGATGCGATGTGAAACTTCAATTCTGCATTGATTTTTCAAAATGAAATAAAAAACACCCCCAAAACTGTTCTTGAGAATTATCCCTTTTTTATGTAGCCATATCATAACTCCTTTGCAAAAATATCTGATTAATACTTTCATTAATCTCTGGCTGTAGTTTTTGGGTTTTGTTTTTTAAGAACACAACCACTTTAAAATACAAATAGATCCCTTTCATACGGTCGAACAAAATGTTCCAGTTTGGATTTTTAAGTCAGACTCGCAACTTGCCATCATGGATGAAGCTGATCGGGACAGATGTCACAAGAGAGTAGCACCTTAGCTCTACTTCATTGAGGTGGGGCAAGAACAACTGCAGACAGTGAGTTATGTTATCTGAATGAAGCAAACAAACATGATCATGGTCGTAGCAAAGACCTCAGGCAGGAAGAGGCGCTTAGGCACTCACCATTCTTCCGTTCGTTGAGGGGAGGTAAATACTGGCTGGGCTGCAGGGAGAGCTCCTGAAACTCGTGTGCGACGGCTTCGCTGTGCGGGCTGGGCGCGAGGCGCGCGAGCGAGCCCGAGTCCTCCTCCGCTTCCGCGCTCCCCAAGTGATCCATGGCGCTCGGCTGCGWGGGGCCAGCGGAGGAGGCCCTCTCTCGATGCTCTGCAGTTCAGAAAGCAAAGAAAAAACACATGTAAATGCATTACTGTTGGCCTCTCAGCTCCCCTGCCCATGAAATTCAACTTGAAAATGACATGCAATATCCACCAGGTTTTCAAAACCACAGCTGAGCACGGTTGTTGCAAGTAATTTAAATAGGCACCTGGTTCTGGGAAGCAGGACTTAGGCTCTGTTTGTTTTGACAAAAAAAATACACAGTATTGACTGCCAGTATGGATGGCCAGAGGCGCCCCAGTGCAAGTGCACAGTTTCTCAGTGAAACTAATTCTTTTTTTTTTTTTTTAGTACTTTATGCTGAAATAATGAATTTGTATCTCATAATATAGAGATTGCTTTTAATATTTTGAAGCACTGCAAAACTTTCCTTAGGATCAAAAAATACCTTGGTATTAACACAGCAGTTCACTTTTCCAAAGCACTAGGTAGGAATCAAAAAATCYGTAAATTCCTCTAACATGGAAAGTTTGTTATCACAAAAATTTACCAATTCATTTTATTACATACTAGCCACTCCTAGCTCAGTGCTCTACAGATTAGTGTAAAAGCCCTAATTCATTATAATTTTCTTTCTAACATTAATGTGGTACTAAATTTCCAGCTGGGAGAGAGTAAAGCATGAGTTACTGGGTGAGGCTTTTTATAGCTGCACAGATCTCTATTRCACCACTAAAGTTTCAATAAAATTTAATGGTCCATGCCTGAACTCTTGGAAATACCTTGGCCACTGTCACAAGGATAAGATAACTCACAACAATTGTAGTATATTTGCATATCATCATAAAATGAAAATTTGGGAAATAAGTCAATGAACTAATGATTTTAATCCCCCACACAGAAGAAGCTCTTGTGCTTGTTTTCAATAAACCCAACATTTGAGAGGAGAGAGGCCCTCAAGCAGAGCAGGTTTTCCCTACAGAGCAGCTTCCTGCCCAAGCCCCACACGATTCCTGACCTCCACACTTGCTCTTCAGTCGGGCAGTGACCTGGCGGGCGCGAGGACTCGGCTGAACCGCTAAATCCCCYGTGGTAAAAGGTATATGTATAATGCAACACATATAGCAGCACTGCTCCCATCATGGCATCTGCCTTCCCTGTCCTCTGCCTGTCACCTGGACGCCTCTTGGAGCCTCCCAGGGCAGTTTCACTACCATTACAGACAACAGGTCACTACCACGAGAGACACCAATCCCCACGCCCAACGGAGGACTAGTCAGCAGGGTACAGTGAAACATGCTGGGACCACGCACAACCCTACACCAACACATCAGTGCAAACGTAGCTCGGCAAGAAAACAAACCAAAAAATGACAGATGGATTGAAATAAAGACTAATAGTTTTCAAATATCTTAACACAAGATGCTAAATGATCAAGAAGTTTTAGGTAATCTACATCCTGCAGTTCTTTCCAGTTTCTGAAAGCATTCAGAAATCCTTGTTACTAAAAGGTACCTCTGCAGAAAGTTCTCAGTTACTTCAAATTCCTTATCAACTAACAGAACAAGGCTCTAAGCCAAACACATGACTACTTAAAAACAGGATCATCCTTCTAGCACTGTATTTAACAGGATGAAGTACAGTTGCAGCAAAACAGGTCCACTAGAACCATTTAGGAATTCCTTTCCAAATAGCGACTTCTTCTCTCATCAAATTGGCAGCACATTTTCTGAATAAATTGAAACGTTTCCCACTTGCTAAATAACTGATTCAGTATCTGGAGGAGGTTAACAACAGAAAAAATCCTCAGATTCTGTCAATGCATCATTTGCAAAACTTTCTACTACCTACCAGCCTCTCTGAAGCTGAATCTCTTAGTCACCTTCTCGGGCATTTATGTGCAGTGAATGCCCCCATGGCGACCATGACTCATCCTGCAACCTCAAAGAGCTCTCCCTCCCAGCGCGAGGCAGAAAAAGCATCTCTTTTCRAAGAAAAATTAATGGCAAGTTGAATAGAACAGGTATTCCAATGGATCATTCCAGCCTACCACACCAGAAATGGGTGACAAAAACCTAAGGTTTGTAAGAAAACACAACTGGAAAACTACAGAACATAACGAAAATCTTGTCTAGCAAACACCAAAATTCTAATTTTACCTTAAAAATACACACACACACACACACAACCTGACATAAGCCTGAAGTCCCAATCAAAACAATTCTAATCTTTAAAACTCTGGTATCCAATATTTTTAAATATCTTTAATCTTTCATCCCAAACCCCAAGTATATATTTATTATGGTTAAAAAACAAGAGCACAACAGGACATTAAACACTTAAACCTCCCTCTGCCTCCAATCAAGCAGATATCATTTTAGAATATCAATTTTATATACACTGATCATTCCCAGAAACAAGAATTATACAGAAATACAGAAGATGAAAGATTACAAAGAGCCAAACGCCAAGCTCTGCTTTAATCTCTTTTAAAGARCTGCCTACTGTGTTAGTCCTCCAAGGCTGTATTAATAAAATTTCTATTTGAGAAAAATATTTTATCTACTTTCACCACTTTTTTAGTTAAAAGTTAGCTAGTTATAAATGTATAAACATGACTTTTAGCCCCATAACTGCACATGTGAGTTCATGTGAAGCCAAAGCAATGCCAAAGTGAGGTGGTAACTTGGGCAGAGCAGTTCCAATGGCACGGGCCCACTTTTCATTATTTTCCACAGTTACTAAATGGTACTTTCACATTAAACGAAGACACATTAACCTAGTGTTATGCAAGATTTTTTCCTTTGTTCTTAGCTTTTAGAAGCATAATTTACTCAGCTCTCATACGATTTCCTGACATTACACTCTCCTCCAACTCCCCCACACTCATACAAATTAAGTACATTATTAACCAAACGAGTCTCTTCAGAGCAGAATTCAAGTGAAAATTTAGCTGCATATGTGATCCATTTCACAGCATTTGATCCACAATTTATTGGCTATGAGTTATGCCTTAAAGTCACTTTTCAAATAAATTAACCCTTATTAGCCATATTCACGCAATTAAATCCATAGAAACACCTTCTTGTATGAAAGGCTTAACGTCTATTATGCTGCAAGTTAGCATTTGCTAACTTTTCCTCATGATGCATAAGGCAGCATTTGTAATTAAGCTGATTCAATCCCTGACACTTTGAAAACACAGCACTAAATCAGTCTGCCTGCCTGTGGTAGCTTCAAGAGTGTATGTAAAGGTGGCTTAAATACCTAGGCTCAACTGAGAACAAYGCAAGTAAAAAATAAATACATCATATTAAATGATATAATGTAACACTGAATTGCAGCTTAAAACAAGACTTGTTTAACTTTACAAGACTCACTCAAAAAGGAAGTTGATCTGTTCTTCTGTTGGATTATCATACAGTAATTCAGGTTAGCAGGGACTTTTGTAGGTCCTCCCGCCCAACACCCAACTAAGGGTCCGCCTGCTGCTTGCTCAAGACCTGGTCTTGCCCAGATTCCAGGACCTCCAGGCAGGCCTTGGGAATCCCTTCTCTTTAAATGGAATTTCTCTCCCTGCAACCAGCAGCTATTGCCTGTGTTGATGTAACACAAGGTGATGCTGATTACTGCAGATCTTAAACCCCATAGCTTCACATCACATGCAAACGTGGCCAGTAATAAAATTCCAAAAAGGCCACATTTCCATTGCAGAGCTCTAAGTCCACCTGGAAAGGAGCAGAACTCCTGCACTGCAGGCAAACTAGGCTGAGTGTAATTAGCTGATTACTTCAAGTCCTGCTGTCGCTGTAGGCTCAGCCACACTGTGCACTGGCCACATGTGTGCACTTGGCAGCCCGTGCTAAAAACTCCCATGCTGTCATCACACCACACTGCTATCAGTACCAGAGCACTCTAGCTTAAAAGTAATTCTGACACATTAATAGAAAAAAAAAATTCATCACTCGATCTGGATTTGGCTCCAATAATTGATCAACACCTGCTCATTACTGCATCAACGTACAGAACATGCAACCTATAGCATCAGGATGACTGAAGAYTGCAATATTACATAATTTGTTTTATGACATGTTCTCATCTGTAAGAATTTAGAAAATGCAGCTGTTCAACTTTCTAAAGTCATCAACTTCTAAATTTAGTATTCCTTGAATTATTAGTCTGTCTTCAGCCTAAGGTTTTCTGTATAGATTGGCACAGTAAACCTAAAAATTAAATAAAACTCATTTTGATATAGCTTTCCAAAAATAAAAAAAAAAAAAAGAAAGAAAACCCAGAAACATATGTATACTGTAATCAACTACTTCTGTACACTGTTGTATGCACAACATCGTAAACTTCCACTATTTTCTGGYATACTCATTTTAATTGCTGGGGAAGATGCATACAACTTGAGAAAGGTTAGGAGAGATGAAAAATGTCCTGCATATTTTAAGCTGTATTTTATCCTGATATTTCTAGTCTATCAGATTGTTTGAACATGATCAATTCAATCACACACACACACAAAGCATAAGAAAGTATGATTTTACCGTGATTAAGATCAGACTCCCTACAATAAGCACACAGTCCAATCAGCACATGTGAAAAGTCAGGAATTCTGACCCAATTTAGAATCAAATGTATGATACATGTGATCATATACAGAGAAAAAACATTTCTACGTATAAAGTGCTGAAAAAAAAATATAAAACCATCCCATCTGTAGCAACTAAAATAATAAACTAGCCAACTTTTCCAATAGTCTTGGAAAGATTTCCTGTTTGGGGATTTTTACACAGAAAGAGGCAAAGCAGACAAGAGTAGAAAAGTGAAAACTGTAAGAATAAAATTCTTTCCCCACTTAACCCTGAGAACAGAACAYCCAAGCAGAACACACACCAATACTAAGAGCCAGAATTTGGTTCCTGTCTGTGCGAMAAGGGCTCCGAGGAGCGTTGCTGCCCTGACTCCTTATGTAAGTGTTCTGTGCACCGTAGGTGGTTGCTATCTTTCCTAAGCACTCAAGACAAATGCTTCTTTTATTTTTA